GAGTCTAGGGAGTCATGGCAAATGCATTATGAGATCCTGGGTTGGACAGAAGGACATCATTAGAAAACTGAAATCTGGAAGGCCTGCTTTGCAGTTACTCATGAGATGGCTCAGGAATAAAGGTGCTTGCTTTGTAAGCCTAAGGATCTGGATTCGATCCCTGACCTCCATGGCATGTAAACAACCGCACATACACCGTACTTGCCCCACTAATACAAGAGCACAAAGAATAAAATACTCAATAACACATAGATTAAAAGCTTAAACTTACATCAGCCTACAAAGATTTACAGACATCAGATAAGCATTCAAAGAGATATTCAACATCATTAGTCATTATGCATGTGAAAGTTGAAACAGTAGCAAGATCCCTATTAGACCAACTTTATGATACTAGCAAGAACACAGAGTTACTAGAACAGTAACATTATGTGAAAGCAAGAAAGGACAGTTGAAATCCCCTTAAACCAGATGTTCCACATAACCCAAAGCATTGTAACATTTACCTATGTAAGAAGATTTGCTTACATAAAAACCTGCATGTGTCTGTTTCCACTTATTCCTGATCACTGGAAAGTGGAGAGGCTCAATGTTTGTCACTGGTAAAGAGATGTACAGACAGTAGGATGTCAATACCATTGAAACTGCTTCTCAGTCAAAACCAGAGGACCGCTGACCCCTGTGGCAGTGTGGGTGACTCTAGTGTATTTTGCTGACTGACAGAAACCTGACTCATGGCCCATAGATTTGGTTGCTCTGGTGGAACATTTGGGAGAAACAAACTGCAGGGACAGATCCAGGTTGGGGACGGGGAATAAGATTGACTAAATAGGGAACAGGTTTTCCTCGGTTAAAAATATATTCTGTGTCTTGATTTTCTCGGAGCTCTCACAACTCTTTGTAATCATTCCAATTTGTAGGACTGTGTATCTAGAGCTAACATTTTAGTATCTGTAAATTATAACTCAGCTGGCCTGGCTTTAGAGAGACCCTTACTTACTTATCCAGTACTTGAAATGGGTGGCCACTTAACTGCAAGCACTGTTAACAGAGATACTTGAAGCAGGATGGAGAATCTAATTCATTGGCAGATTTTCAGTTTTCCTTGGATAGCCAAATTTGTCCCTATTTTCCTGGTGACCAAGTTGGTTTAGCAGTTATTCCAAACAACAGACACATGATTTGCATGAGTAATATAGTTGTGTTTCGTTTGGATGGTATTTCTTATGGTTTGCTCTGGAGACCAGGCTGGCCTTGAATTCACAGAGATCTGCCTGTCTCTGCCTCCCGAGTGCTGGGATTAAAAGCTTGCGCCAACAACACCCGGCCTCCCTCTATATTTTAGTTAGGGTTAATACTGCTGTGATAAAACACCATGACCAAAGTAACTTGGAGAGAAAGGATTTATTTGGCTTGCCCTTCCACATCACTGTTGGTCATCAAAGGAAGTCAGGACAGGAACTCAAACAGGATAGGAACCTGGAGGCAGGAGCTGATACAGAAGCCATGGAAGGGTGTTGCTTACTAGTCAGTAAGCGTGGCTTGCTCCATCTGCTTTCTTATAGAACCCAGGGCCACCAGCCCAGGGATGGCACCACCCACCATGGCTGGGCCCTCCCCGATCAGTCACTGATTAAGAAAATGCCATACAGGCTTGCCTGTGGCCCAATCTTATGATGCCATTTGCTTAATTGAGGTTCCCTACTCTCAGATGACTTAGCTTGTGTCAAGTTGACATAAAACTGTCCAGAACACCTGAAGAAAAAACAAAAGCTGGAAAATGCCCTAATTATGACCATACATGTGTGTGACTGACTATATATATTTGTGCATTCATGCATGTGTATTTGCTGAATTTTACTTTAGGAGTCAGATTGCCATGTGTATTTTTCCAGGAAACCATCCTACACTACTCTGGCATGATAGTCAGTTGAAACATCCTCACTTATAAAGCAGGTGTTGTAATCATTAACTGGCAGAAGTTTTATAAGAGACTTAGAGAAATTGCTTGGTGTCAGTGCAATGCTTGGTGCTTGGTTGTGGTACTTTTCTCACTGCTGTCACCTCTGTCATCATCCCCTGTGGGTGGAATTCCAACTACTTTCTATGATGGGCTTCTCACCAGCTGAGGGTAAATGTGTTTCCATGAGATGTGTACAGTTCCCATTCAGATACCCAGTGCTGAAATCACATCCTCTCAGGTATTTCCTGTTTGCCCCTGGTTTGACTTGCACAGCAGCGGGATCAAAAAGGACTTATTCTCCACTTAAGACCAATCCCTCCCCACAGAATTGCTGGCAGCACTGTCAACCCCTCTCCCTCTGCAGGTTTCTTGTTTGGCAATTTCCAAACAGGGTGCTTAATAGCTTCAAGACTGCAACAGAATGAAGGGAGAAGAGAACACAGGGTACCTGTGCCCTGGCTTCATCACTGAAGGTGGTGAGAGTCTGGACGCTGGGCTGAGGCAGTACTTGACGGAAGTGTGAAATTCAAGTATGATTTATTTGAACCAAGGGAGAGAGAGATTGTTGCTTAATGACTTACGGTGTAGCCAGAATGCCAGCCATTATGACCCTCAAGCCGTCAAAAAGTTAGACAGCTATTTTCCATTTTTTTATGTTTAAATTTTATTTTATGTGCATGGGTATTTTTTCCCTGCATATATGCACTTATACTGCATGCATGCTTGGTTGCTACGGAGGCACAAAGAGGATGTCAGGAACTGGAGTTACAGATGGCTGTGAACATCCATGTTGGTAGGACCTGGGCCCTCTGGAAGAGCAGCCAGTGCTCTTAACCTCTGAGCCATCTCTCTAGCTCCTGGCAGGTATTTTCTTTGGACTATTGAATGAGCACTGTGTTATGCCACAACTAAGAATAAAAAACCCCACAATAAAGACGTGGGGGGTGGCACATGTCTTTAATCCCAGCACTTAGGAGGCAGAGGCAGGTGAATCCCTGTGAGTTCCAGGCCAGCCTGGTCTACAAAACTATGCAGAGAAACCCTGTCTTGAAAAATCAGAAAAAAAAAAAAATAAGCCAAAACCAAACAAAACAGCCAAAAACAACTCCCCCCTCCCAATACCTGGAGTCTTCTATGAGTTTATATTGTAGCTGGGATAACACAATGCAGACACACAAAATGAGGAAATGATAGTATGAACTAGAACTACAAGCTGCATGACCTTCATGACAGAAGTAAGTTGAGGAGAGGTGACTAGAAATGGGAGTGTTGAAAGCCTTTTGCATGGCTTTAGTGTAGTGGTTCTCCACCTGTACATTGTGACCCCTTTGGGGGTCCAATGATCCTTTCACAGGGGTCACCTAAGACTATCAGAAAAAACATATATTTACATTATGGTCCATAACAGTAGCAAAATTAAAGTTAAGAAGTAGCAACAAAAATAATTTTATGGTTGGGGGTCACCACAACATGAACTGTGTCAGAGGGTCACAGCATTAGGAAGGTTGGGAGCCAGTGTTTTAGCATTTTGCCACACTTGGCTTCTGAAGTTCAAGCTGAGTACCAACTGTGATTTAATTGGCATCCTCCTCCTCTTGCACCAAGGCTGAGCTGGACACAGTCAGAGTGGTATTTCAAATTGCATTCAATTAATTGTGGGCAGATGCAGGATTGATCAGAGTGACAGATAACTGGGGGAGGGAAAGAGAATACTCTTCGACGTTTAAAAAGGCCCATTCATGAGCACTCAATGGCAAGCTGCTATGGAAACTTCTCAACATTTTTTGTTTTAATAAATGATGGGAATCCTATCCGACTCCCGGGGAGATGGGAAGCTGAGGTTATTGAGCAGAAACTTCAAAGGGCAAATGAATTCTTTTTGATAATTTGCCTCAAAGTTGCTTTTTTAAAATAAAAGGGAAAGAGAATGAATGAAATGGAGACCAAAGAAAAGCCTGCAAGACTGCTTGCTCACAGGCACTAAAGCCTAAAGTTCTGAGGCAAGTTCAGAATTCATGGCAAAGTTTTGCTTTTACTATCTCTTGGTAACATATGAGTGAAATCAAGACTTGCTTTAAAGCAGTAGCGTACCAGTGACTCAGCATCCATTTTTTTTTGTTTTTTGTTTTTTGTTTTTTCAAGACAGGGTTTCTCTGTGTAGCTTTGGAGCCTATCCTGGCACTCGCTCTGGAGACCAGGCTGGCCTCGAACTCACAGAGATCTACCTGCCGCTGCCTCCTGAGTGCTGGGATTAAAGACGTGTGCCACCAACGCCCGGCAGCACCCAAGTTTTAATTTGTCTTTCTGTGATCTAAAATACATGCATGTGTTACTATAAATGTAATATAGTTTGGTCACTGTGACAAAAGCATGCCAGCCAGTCCCTTTACAAATTAAACACAGAGTCACCACAACTGTTCCTTAGAATTGAAATCAGGGACTAGAATGGATGTTCATACCCTAGTATTGTCCCAGTAATATTTATTCAAAAACGGGCAAAAGGTAGGAGCCACCCGAATACACAGAATATGGTATTCATATACATTGGGATATTATTTAGGTTTAAGAAGAAATGAAATTCTGGCATATGCTACCATATGGATAAACCTGGAAGACATATTAAGTGAAATCAGCCAGACCAAAGGACAAAAATTGCATGAATCCTTATATGTGACTGCCCTAGGTAGGGTACTCTCATCCACAGAACTAAACTGTGGCTCGTGGGCTGGGAGAAGTGTGGAGTACTTATCAATGAGTTCAAATTTTACTTTGTGAGGGTGGAAAGTTGAGATGGATGGTGGAGACAGATGCACAGCAGTGTGATTCTGTGGAAGGCCATTGGACTGCATGCTCAGAAATGCCCAAAGTATGTTTATAATCAAATCTTAAAACCCAGACATATTAAAAAAATATATGCTGGTGAAATTGTCTCTTGGAGTACAGCTTCCTTGCTCATAAAGCATAGGTGGAAAGAGAAAGCAAGTTTCTTCTAATCTGGTCAAGCTCCATTCGGTTATTCTAGCAAATTCTATTTCAGGGTCAAGTGAAGCAGTGGCTACTGTGGCAGTAAATAAAGGAACCCGGGGAATCACAGCATGGCAAACCTAAACCAAGATGTGCTGAGGGTAAAAACGCAGCACTTTCAGCTGTGTTTGCACCAGGAATTCATGGAAGTTTGAACAGTTCCAGGTGGGCAGAAAACAATGGGTAAGGCCATTCAGGCAGGGGTAAGTGTGTCATAGTGGTTGGGTGACTGGAGGAGGTAAGAGTGGTCGAGGAAGCCCTGCAGGGTGGGGGTGTTAGATGCCGAGTAGTGAGATAAATTGTGCATTGTGTGAGGTCAGACTGTGTGGGGGGAGTTGGGGCTTAAAATTCAGAAATCCACAAGGATTCTTACTCTAGTTTTTTGTGCATTGGAGATTTCAAAACAGAAGTTTTTGCTCTCTCTCTCTCTCTCTCTCTCTCTGTGTGTGTGTGTGTGTGTGTGTGTGTGTGTGTGTGTGTGTGTGTCAATTGCCTTCTTCAGGGAAGAGAAGTCCTCTAAAAATGCCAAGCATACAGTGTAGAGAACGGAGTCCTAATACAGAAGGCTACTGTATTTGCACAGTGCACAATGACTACACTCCAGTGCGTTTGGTAAATGACAGGACTGGTAACTGGGTCCTTGAAATCCATTCTGCGATGAACTCGACACCGTTTCTGGTTGTTTGATTTGCTTTCTCGGAAGCTGGGTTGAGGGTCATGATGTACTGCCTCGTGGCATAAATAATCATGTTTCCTTCACTTACCTCTGCTGGCCTGACTAGCTAGCTGGGAGATTTCTGTTTGATTTGGAGAAAGCAGTGTATTTACCAATGACTGAAGGTGATTAAGAAAGAATGTAATGTCAAAGAGTCTGCAGAGAAGGACTGAGATAAAGATTGCCTCTTGACATTGCGGGAAGTTGACTTAGGTTCAATATGAATATGTTCTGCTGGATAGGTTGTTGAAAGAAGAGCACCAACTCAAGTGTTGGCTATTGTAAAATCAGTGTTTGCAATGGCATCCTTAGCTTAAGAGACTACCACTACCGTTTGGACCTTGTATGATGGATCGCGCACCCCAAGCATCATGACCACAAGAAGGTCTAAGGCTTCTTTTAGATGCGAGTGGGGCAGGGCTTGCATTTTTCAAATACTGCAATTAACAAAGGTAGAGTGACTCGGGTGAGCTTGGCCAACAAATATCACTGACAAAGGTGAAGCATTTCTGCAGGGATAGGTATATGTTGGGTACCACTGCCACTAACCTCCAGGGTGTACTGAGAAGGCAGCTGAGTCAGATTCTTTCCTCCTGGCTAATGATAAGCTTTGTGAATTATTATACCACAGAAAAAGGCCATACTATCTTTTCCTTTTCCAGCTAAGGCATAAAAACATGTGAAAAGGGTCAAAAGTCCTCAGTGTGTGCCATTTATTATGAAGCATGGGCTCTGTGTGGCATAGCTGGAAAAATTTTTGCCAAAAAATTAAAGAAGCCTTTGGGACTATGCCTGCTTGAGTGTCCAGATGTTGTTGGCCCTGTCTATGATGGGAGTGCCATTCCATGCGCAACTGTAGGAAACTTGGAATTGAAATGGGCTATGACTTTGAAGACTTAGTATCCCCCACTCCTCCCAAAGGGGTGTGTGTGTGTGCTCAGAGAGGCACATGCGTGTGGTCCCAGCACATAGGAGGCAGAGGCAAGAGGATCTTGAGCTTGAGACTGGTCAGCCTAAGCCACATAGTGAAATCTCATCTCAGTAAAACAAAACAGAACGGCCAGTGGGCTGGCTCCTCAGGTATAAGTATTCGGGTATAAGTATTTGCTATAAAATCCTAACCACCTGAGTTCTAACCTAGAAACCATGGTGGAAGGAGATAGCTGACTATTGCAAGTTGTCCTCTGACCTTCACAGGTGTGCTGTGGAATTTGAGAACTCTCTCTCTCTCTCTCTCTCTCTCTCTCTCTCTCTCTCTCACACACACACACACACACACACACACACACACACACACGCTCATGTGCTTGAAAACACACACTGAATTTTTAAAGAAGAAATATAAATTAGTCCCTTTAACCCCCAAATTACTATCCTTAAATGAATTGTTTTATCTTACAAGTGGTTTTGAAAAATGTCCAAAGCAATTATCCTTCATGTAATTTCTTCAGCATTTATTTAATTATTTTAGTTCAGCATTGTTGTCATAATGATAACTTTCTATTGTTTGGGGAAAAAATTAGATCAAATGATTAAATCCCCCTCCAAGCATTTGGTGGGGTGGGGGTAGGGGAGTCAAAGAAAGCTGATTTGAATATGGAGGATAAATAGTAATTAAACTGTAAATGTTGATTTTTTTCCTTTGAAGTCTACTGGTGTGTTTGGTATGAATAAATCTCACAATGTCACTTATTATTTCTGTGTGAGAATTACTGCAATGCTGTATTAAACTGGGGAGTTTCCCAGAGCAGCTGAACTGAAGCTTTCTTTGTTTATATTAAAGCCAGATTATTTTTCCCTTAAACAGTACACATTAGTTTTAGATAAAAATCTGAGAGGTGTTTTTTTTTTTTTCCTCCTTCAAATCTCATCCATGCCACTGTATTCTAGAGAAGAGATCTATCCTAAAACCCGGAAACGCAAAGGGGCTTGCTATTTCAATCTGCATATTCCCTTTTTGTTTTTAGACTTAGAAATAGCAATCTCAGGTTAGGCTATTCATTAGATTCATCTGGGGAAGCTTTAAAGACAATCCAGGCGTAAGGGATACACCTGTATTGGAAGCTGAGCTACAAATGAATCAGAAACCATCCTCCTCCCCCACCTCGGGATTCCAGTTGGAGGCTGAGGCCCAAGAGTTGCTGCTGTGCTGGTCAGAGGCACAGCTGTGTTCTCAGTCTTCTCCAGGAGCACTTACACACTCTGGCTTACAGTGTGTGGATGATTTAAGCATCTAAATTTTTCCCTCATATAACCGGAGATAAGCTCTGTAGTTTCTCAGTCTGAACACTCCCCTCGGGTTTTGATATAAACACCTAAGAGAAATGCACACTCTCTCACGCTTTGAGAGATACAGATAGACCAATGATCATAAATTATCAGTTCAGTAGTTAATTGGGTTTGCTTTATTCAGGATTCGGTGCAGAGAATTTGTCTCTTAAAACCATGTACACACATGATAGACACACATGTGTGCATATGACACCATGGTATTAGCCTCTACAGATAGATTTCTCAAGCTGCTTATCACAATATCAACCATATCGGCTGGATGTTCAAGAGAATGTTTGGAGTAAGGTGGATATCCTATGGACTTTGCATAATTATTTTGAGTTGAGCATTACTGTCTTCACAAATATAACTATTACCGTGGGACCCAAATTTTTCCATTGTGAAAACTAGTTGTTCCCCTTGGATCTGGGTCTATGAAATCCAAGGCCTTCACATGGATTCATGCAGTGAAAGTATTTTGTATATATAAAACAGCATTAAAGTAAGTTAATTATATGCCTTTTTTTGAAGTTTTGGGTTTAAAATATTTTAAATTAATAGCAAATGAGACAATTCTTATTGTCAGTAACCAAAAGTGATTTTTCTGGAGCTACTCTGTTGTAAAGTCATTGCAAAATGGTTGGAGAACACAGAATAAAATATTGAAACAGGGCAACTTGTTATTAGAGATTTAATGAAAAGCTCCAGCCGGCTTGCTCATTCAGTCATTCATCCATTCAACAAACATTTCACCGATGGTTTGCTATTATCACACAATGCTCTAGGGTTTATAGAAACATGCAAAGCAGATGGACAGGAACCCAATCCTGCCTTCCAGGGTTTATTTCTACCCTTTGCCTGGCCAAGTTCCAGAACACATGTATAATTTATGTTTGGAGAAACATGTTTAGAGGAGTGGGGAGAATCTGGTTTTTGTCTTTCACCAAGAAGGTGACTTTGGAGCAGATGGTTTGAGTAGATGAGAGAGTAGATCATATAAATGTAAGAAGGGCATTCCATGAAGCAGAAACAGGTCTAGTGCAAAGGGCTAGGGGTGGGGGGAGGCTGGGGCTTGCTAGATAAAATACATGGTGCCCAGTTAAAGATGAATTTCCCATAAGCAATACAGAATTGTTAATGTAAGCATCATGTAATACTTACAACATGTATATACTAAAAATGTACGGTGTCTGTGTTCTTACCCCCTAATCTAGCAAAGTTAGATATATCTCGAAGAGGTAGGGAATTGAAAGGAGGCCAATGGTTGGGCCAGAAGAAGGAAGCAGGAGAGAGAAAGAGATGAGGTGGGAGAGGCCCATAGTGGTAGAGTGAATTTGGAGGGCCTTTTAGGCCACTGTAGGAAGGTGAGGGCTGGTGAGATGGCTCAGTGGTTACAGTTGCTTACCCCCAAGCTGCTGATCTCATTTCGATCCCTGCAACCCATGTGATGGAAGGAAGGAACTCATCTTGGCAAGTTATTTCTGACCTCTACATGTGTGGGGGAGCATGTGCACAGACACACAAGATAAGCAAGTTCTTTTTAGCTAAAATGAAAGAACTTGAACTTTCCCCCTAGCTGACATCACTGGAGAGTTGGAGCTGACCTGTTCTTGAAGTTTGGAAGCAGTTCTAGATCTGCTGTGGTGTGTGGAGGACAACGTGAGCAGAAGGAAGAAGACCAGGTAGGAGGCAGTCACAACCATTCAAGTGAGATGATGAGGCAGTAGGATGTGACAGTCTGGGTACGTTCTAAATGAATACCAGCCCAATTTTTGGTGGGCTGGGTGTGTGTCATAAGCAAAACGTTGAGTTTGGAGAAGGATGGAATTGCTGATCAATGAAATGGGGGCCTTTCAGATTGAGTGGGTTGTTTTGTTTTTAATTTGGTGATAGTGGGAAAGTATCAGAATACACATTCACATAAGTCAGAGATGTTTAATAGCTAAGTGGAAACATCAAGTTGGAAATTCATGGTCTTTCTTGTTTGGTTGGGTTTTTTTGTTTGTTTGTTTTCCTAAGTAGAAAAGCCAGAAATTCCACCATTGTATCCATGTTGAAAAGAAAAACGGAAGTTAGGATGAGGGATGGGAGGTAAGGCCGTTAGGAAGAAAGAAAGTAAAGTTCATTATCCAACAACGGAGACTGAGGACTGAGCCCACTTAGGAGATAAGGAGGGGCAGCTGTTGGCCCTTGTTGTTCTGCATCTGAAGGAAGCCGGTTTCCCAGAGCTCTCAGTGTGTGGAAGATCTGATCTGAATGCTAACTCTCCAGGCTTTCAGATGTCAAGGACCGACTGAGTCACTCCATGCCACTCCTGCCCTTTCCCCTCCCCCACTCTTGTGTGGTGTGGCAACGTTAAATTGTTCTTGCTCTGTCTCCTCATAAAATGGGAGTGTGTGGGAGTTACATTCACTACAGATTACCTCAGAAGAAAATAAAGTTTTCCCATGGAGAAGTGAAAGAAATCCTTATCATTGTGTTACTATGTGCAATTGACACGATTGGCTCAGTGTTGTGATGTCAGAGAGGCTGGTCCTACCTGAGGATGCCTGAGAGTCTGAAGGGGCTCCTGGTTCTTCCATAGAGAGCTCAGCTGGCAGGATGTTAGCAGTGTATCTCTGCCGCCCACTAAAACCTCCCCCAGGCACTTTTGAATTTCCCCACAGTTTCCTTCTTGATTTCCTGTCAGCTTCTGTGCTCTCTCCTCCTCTGTAGGTTCTGTGTGGGCTATTCACTCCTTGGTCTTCTCTTGCTAGGTTACTTCTCTTCCTGCTCCATCTGTTTTATTTCTTATGACTTGTTCTATGGTGAAATTTGTTTTGCATTTTAGTCTGACTCTTATTGATACAGCTCCGAATGGTTTGTTGCTCAACACTATGTTCCTGGTGGGTTTTCAGTCTCATTCAAGAGGAAATTGTATACATTCTTAATAATGAAACTTCATGTGGACAAGTTGTGGTGCCCTTTTGTGTTGTCTTTGACCTCCGGGGGAGTTAGATATGTAACAGTCACCATTAGAGTCTGTGTTGAGATTATCAAATGTTCTTCAGAACTCTCCCACTGGTTTGGTTTAGAAAGACATCACTTGACCCAGCAATCTGGATGTGGGAGGCCTAGAAGGCTCAAATCACTTGGTTCTGGTTTTGTAATAATTCTGGCTCAGACAGTAGTCTTTTCTTTACGCCTGCCACAATGGCTTACCTTGGCATGTTGCCCCGTGAGTGTCACTTCCTGATATCTCAAGGATTTTTCCTTGTCTACTGCATGGGGAATGGGATATAGGTAAACTTCCTTGCAGAGATGTGCCGAACTAATCACCGTGTTGTAACCCAGCCTTAGCTGTTCAGATGTGAACATGATGACACCCTGAATAAAAATGCCAACTGTACTGTGTAGCGCACCACTTTGGGGAGCTTATTAAACACAGACTGATACTTTGGGGTTTCTAGATGGTGACTTGATGGGGGATGTCCTTCAGTGTATGTTTATCTTATTGACTGTTGAATAAAGCACTGTTGGCCAATAGGGGAGCAAGATAGGTGGGACTAGGAGTCTAGGAGGATTCTGGGAAATGTAGTAAGAGAAGTCTTGTGATCTAGGCAGGAAGTGACATAGCAGGCAGACTCAGAATATAAGCAGGACAAACAGGAAGTGGCTCTCTTCCTCTTCCTCCTGCTCTCTGCTCTGGAGCTACCATGTGATCCCGTCAAGACAGGACGAATTCCACTGGCGTCCTCCATTAGATAAGTCTTATGATTATGGCTGATAATTAAGACTGAGCTAGCAGATAAGAAATCCTTGTCATTGGCCAACAGCAATACAAGAGACCCAATATAAGTCTCTGTGTATTATTCGGGGCCCTAACACAGCAGGCGGAACTCGGGCAGCATGGGGGAAAGACTTATAGTTACAGTGACTGTTGCAGCTTTTAAGGGTGGCTTGGAACACTGTTCACTGGTTGTTCAAATTGCAATGCTGGTGGGAGATGGCATCATTGTCTTGACTACTGTTTACAACAGAAGATCAGAAGATGAATTCTAAGTGAGAACCAGAGCTAAGTTGGCCCCTTTCAGTGTGTGCTTGATGAGGCATTTATTGGTCAAGCTGGAAAGGTCAGTCTACTCTCAAAGGTCATATTTCCCATATTGGGGAACAAGGGAATAGGCTAGAAGCTGCTAGTATGTTTGCTGCTGTCTTTCTTCCTTTTTCATTTCTGATACAAAAGAAAGAAATTTTTAAAAATGTATAGATGACATGGTGTTAATTCCAATGGTTGAGAATAAGACCACTACCACAGTTTAAAGCCAAATCTGCAGCAAGCTTTAATTAATTACTGGCCAGTTAGATGGCATCTGGCCAGGTCCATACCTGGGTTTTCAGGAAATGGTCCTAGTCATGTTCTTTTGTTTGTTTGTTAGGTTTTTTTGTTTTTTGTTTTTGTTTTTTTGTTTTTTTGCAGGGACTTAAGAAGGCCAAACTCACAATTCACATTTTCTATCAGCTCCAATCAGGGGCAAGCATACATCCTGATGTATTTCCTGCCCATGTACTTCCTGCCCATATGTGATCAGGCACATCTGGTGTGGATGGGTCAAAAAAACTTGTTTAGGGAGTGAAAGCATGTGGCTTGTTATGTCCCCCAAACCATAGCATTTCAGGAGCTATCTGTCCTTGGGCAAGGGGCTTGCAGAACAGAGGCACTTTGTTTCATGGCTCTCTTAGGCATAGTGATTAAAACTTACAATGTAACTTTGGCTCTCACAATAGGGACAAGGCTTTTATTTTTCCCATCTATGTCCCGCTATGATTATTATGTACTCAGAAATAAGGAAAGGAGACAGACGTGGAGGTGGCAACAAATATACAAACCCACTGCTACCACTTCTGCTTCTAGTCCCTAGGGCCCCACAGTGTGTGCTTAAAATCGTGGAGTCTGAAGGTGAATAGCCCTGGGCTTGAGTTCTGGTTTCTTCACTAGTGGGACTGATTTGGGGCAAGTTATGTAAATTAACCCATGATTACCCATCTATTAGGAGGGATATAAATAGTATTTATCTAATATGATTACCATGAGATTAGAAAGGCTGATGCTTGTAAAAACAACAACAAAAACAAAAAACAGCAGAAGACCTGGTGTCCAATAAGCATTGAATAGATGAGAATTACTTAAAAAATTTTCTTTTTGAGCCAGGGTTTCATGTACTCCAGTTTGTTCTGAACTCAAAATGTAGGTGAGGGTGACCTTGACCTTCTAGTCCTCCTGCTGCCACCTCCTGAGTACTTGGATTGCAGGTATGTGCCAATTCTAGAGTGCTGGCAATGGAACCTAAGGCTTTGTACGTATTAGCAAGCACCCCAGTCTCTAACAATGGCTTATTTCCTTATTAGAAAATACTGATAGGAATGGGGTAGAGGGCCATAGGTGGTAGAGGGGTTACTGGTTTTCTTGAGTCCCCATTGTATGTAAGTCACTGAACTGTGAGCCAAAGAGGCAATGATAGAAATACAGGCAGGGTAACTTTATCAGGTCAATGGGAGGGGAAGGAGCCCTTCACCTTGGAGTCAACATAAAAATAGTATTTGCTTCATACACAATATGAATAATAAACAAGACTTAAAGCTTGAATATATATAACCGTGGAGAGAGCCTCATTTCTTTTCCTAGACATTTCCTGGGAATTTCAAACAACACTGTTAAGTGTTTAGAGTAAATATAGCCTGTCTTTCTGCATTCCTATGACCTAGACCAGTGGTTTTTCAACATGTGGATTGTGACCCCCTGGGGGTTGTCAAAAGACTCTTTCACAGGGGTTGCATATCAGATATCCCACATATCTGATATTTATTTGCAATCCATAACAGTAACAGAATTATTGTTATGAAGTAGCAATGAAATAATTTTATGGCTGGGGGTCACTACAACATGAGGAACTGTATTAAAGGGTCTCAGCATTAGGAAGGTTGAGAACCATTGCTCTGGACTTTTACTTTATCAGTTGTTATCCTGACAGGTGCCCCTAAGTAACCACAGGTGAGTGACCTCCCTTAGGTTTCTTGGCAACCCTTTAAAGATGCTAACTTCAAATCCCACCCAAATCCTATATATGAATATTGTAAGGAAAATAAAGTACAACTCCCTCTCAGAGAAGCTTTATATAAGCGACATATACATATACATACATACATACATACATACATACATACATACAGAAGGCTCTTTTTTTCTGGGTGTCCCTCTCTTAACCCATGTTTAATGTCTATATTAAAACAGCCAGGTGGTGGTGGTGCACACCCTTGATCTCAGCACTCAGGAGGCAGAGGCAGGCAGATTTCTGTTGAATTTGAGGCCAGCTTGGTCTACAGAGTAAGTTCCAGGACAGCCAGCGCTACACAGAGAAACCCTGTCTTGAAAAACAAACAACAACAAAACAAAACCTAAAATAAAATATAAAATATCTTTATTAAACCTCAATTCTGCCTCACGATGGCTAGCTCTGGGGTTCTTTTCTGCATATAAGTCATGAATCTTGGTTTGCCTGAGCTGAGGTCTCTGAGAAATTCAAGAAACTCCTGATGCTTGCTGCTAAGGGGGAACACTGGGAACCTGCACCCATGCCCCTGGTTGCTGACAAGAACATACTGTAATTCTGAACTGTGACTGATAGCTGAATAATTGCCATTA